TTATCGAAACAAAAATTTCACCCCTTCCTACCTTCCTCCATCCCCCTTAATTGGAGTGTTTAACAGGAGTAGAGGGTAGGAGATTCAAATGATTGGGAAGGGGCTGGTCCCTACAAGTGTCTCACCATCCTGTAAGGTGATGCTATGGGGGATCAGCTGGGGGTCCCCAATTATGTTCTTTCACAAGGTATCCCCCAAGTATTTAGAGCAACACCCTGCACCCTTGGCAGAATGGGCAGCTTGAGATATTAAAGAACTATATTTCAAGCAGTCTGATTTTAATAGTTTCCAGATTGGGGGATTTCCGAGAAAGGGGGCGCCGGGCCGAGGCATACCCAGCAGCTTGTGTCTGCTTCTGATTAGCAGAGGAAAACTGCTGGTTCTAGAAAGGCGCTCTGGGGTGCAGTGCAGCCGATCAGCCCCACCGGGCTGTTACACACACATCCCCACACCTTTGTGCTTCAGGTCCCAAAGCCACCAGGGAGCACCCCACTCCTAGCTAATCTCTGGCCAGTTTTCTTGGGCCTTGGGCTCACCATCCCCCAGAAATGCTGTAACTGCACAGCGTGACCCAGTCACCCCCAGACAAACATTCAAACTAAATACCAGAGTAGGGAAGATAGATTGGGAAGAAACGAACTAGGAAAAGGAGAGAGAGGAGCTGAGACTGCGTGGAGAAGGAGAAACTACATCTAATTCGGATTGTATTGGTTTTGCCATCTTCTCTTTCCTCCCTTCCTTCCTTCTTTCCTTTCCTACTATTCTTTCCTGTCTCCTTCCATGTCCCTTCTCTTCTCGCTCACTGTTTTTCTTCTTCTCCCACTGCAGCCCCCAGTCCCTGTCCTGCTCCCTGAGGCCTGCCTGGCCTTCCTCCTAGTCCCACACCCCCTCCCAGCCTTCATTCCCAGCCATCCCTGGAAGCACCAAAGCACCAATGCAGCCAGGCAAGAAGCCAGCCTGGGCCCTCACCCAGCACCCAACTTTCATCTTCACCTATCTCTTCCCTCCGATCTCATGTACTCATAAATTATTACAATTAATTACAGCCAGGGAAAGCCATTCATGCCGTGCCTCTCCCCCGCACTCCATCTAGCCATCAGGAAACTTGTAGGCAGCCAGCCGGGGCAAGCACTAGCTGGGCCTGGGCCTCAGCAGCCTCCACCCCGCCCCCAGAACCCCCCCCCCACCCCTCCCTGACTGGAGACAAGTAGCAGGCATTTGCCCTTCCAAGGTAGAGGGAGCCCATTCTCTGGCTCCAGCCTCCAATAGATGACCTGAGCACTTGCCTCCTCCACAGCAGCAGACTGGGAACCACACGGAAGAGAAATAACGAGAACTGGATACAGTTGGGTTTCTGGTTTTTTAAGTGACTTCGATATATTAACACAGGGCTGTTCTACCATAACAAACAGAAGCACGTTACAGGATCGACGCTGGGGACGAACGCTGAGGGTGAGAGGAAACACTGCTATGTACAGCCCAAGGCGCCGGCCTGCACGCCCGACCCAGCCCGCGGCATGGTCCCCAGCCCTGCCCCTCAGCTCCTGGACTGGGAATCATTACTATGTATGTGTGTGTGTCTTTTTTTTTTTTTTTTTTTTTTTTTTTTTAAAAAATATGCACGCAGAGCGCCCCAGGCCCGTGGAGGGATGGCCTGGACCAAACACGATACAGGGGGAAAAAATAGAAATATAGCGATTCAAGTACTGGCTTCTCTGAAGAAAGGAGGAAAAAAATCACATTTGCGTGTGTCATTTATTTCAGTTGCGCTGGGGAAAGAGAATGCAGCTTCTCTCCCTGCCTCCTCCTCGATGGGTAGAACTAACTCTAAAACACCAATATCTCAACACTGAACCCTCCCAAATCGCAAGAGTTTTCTTTTCCCCTTCCTTTTTTTTTTTTTTTTTTTCCTTTTTAAGCTGATTGGCTTTTCTCTATCTTGCTCTTTCCATTTCTTTTTCGTCTCTCTCCCGCCTGGGTTGGGGTATTTTGCGGGGTTTTGTTTTTCCCTGGCTGTGCTGAGGCAGCAGGCTGGGCAGGGTTTAGGACTGCTCCTTGTCGGTTTTTTCTTTATTCATCTTTTTCATCTTCATCCTTCGGTTCTGAAACCAGATTTTGACCTGCCGCTCAGTGAGATTGAGAACCCGGGCCACCTCATACCGACGGTCCCTGGTTAAATACATATTGAAGAGAAACTCCTTCTCCAGTTCCAGCGTCTGGTACTTGGTATAGGGGCAGCGCTTCTTCCTCGTGGAGCGGGCGTGAATCCAGTTGGCCACGGGGTTGCCTGGAGGGCCAAACACAAGCAGGGGTCAGTGGGGCCCCTTTCCAGCCCAGGACTTCTGCTGCTGTACCCCCAGACTTAACCAGGCTCCCCAAACGCAACAACTGAACCTGAATTTGGACACATTTTGCTTTAGGAATTTTCCTCCTTCCTCGTTTTGCATTCTGTCCCCTCCTCAGCTTCCCCTTTTTCAGTTTCCAGCACCTAAAACTGTAGGAAATCCGAAGCTATCAAAGCCCCTCCAGTCTGGTCCTCAGCTTCAAGAGTAGTAATTTGAGAATATCCTCATAAAAAGTCCAAATTCCCAACCGTTTCATAGGCCCATAAACGCTTCTCTCTTGCTTTTTATTTTTATAGCAAGGTCTCTCTCCTCCCCACCTCCCTCCTCCTCTGCCCCCTCCCATCTTCCCAGCCCACGACCAAGTCCTGAAATTTTAGCAGTTCTGCTTCCTGACCCTGAGAGTCCCTAAGCCCCTCACCACCCTCTGCAGCACCCTCCTCCTGCTCGGAGTTCAACCCTGCTGAGGCGAATTCTCAGGGTGATGCTGACAAGGGAAGAGTCTTTCTCCTCTCCCCAGAGAGCTGCTGGCCTTGGGGACAGGCTCCCCTATATCTTAGTTTTCCTGTTTGGCCTCCAGTGCCCCCTCCTGCCAGCCCCAGGACAGGCTCTGCAGGAGCCAAGCCTCCAATTTCAGGTTTATGGGAGTTGCTGAGGGCAGGCAGGGAAGCCTTCAGAGGGGTATAATTAGGCCCTGGCCCCTTATCGGGCTGGAGGAAAAGATTTCCTGCAGCCCCCTCCTGGGACTCCCCGAGACACTTCCTCACACCCAGGGGACTGCACCCCCTCTCCTGCTGTTTCTCCTTCTTTCCCCTTTTTCTGGCCCTGCAGCTCCCACCTACCCCCAACCTGCCTCCTGTGCAACCCTCAGAAGGTGCCTGTCTCCCTGATTGGAGTGTGTGTGTGTGTGTGAATTTTCCAATCTGGGGAGATGCCCACTCCTCATCCCTGACCCCCATTCTCAACCCTTCCCCTCCAAGACCCTCAGAAGAGGGTTCTCAAGTTTAAGGAGACTCAGACCTCACTTTTGTCCCCACTTCTCTCTGAAAGTCCTGGTCTCTCCAAGTTCCCAGGCTTCGAAATGCTCCAGACCCCTCACCCAGTGCTCCTGGGGGAGAAGTCCATGGACCTTCTGTTTTATAACTCTCTAGTGGGGTGACGACCTCCATGCTAACTGGGAAGCAGGGGTACTTCTTTTCGCTGGGGGTATCTCCTCTGTGCCCCCAGTGTCCTCCTCACCTCTTCCCCATCCCATCTCAAATCAGAAACTGAACCTCGCCCCCAGCCCCATTCCCTGGCCCTGCCTGCATTTCTTCGAAAGTGGTGACTGAGCCAAAAAGCCTGAGCTGGGAAGAGGGGGCAGGGGTCTCTCATCAAAGCCAGCTCCTGAGAGAGGAGCTCCCCTCGGCCCTCTCCCAACCTGTCTCCCTGGGCCCCCTTCTCAGACCTTCCTGCTCCTGAAAGATCCCCAAGGTAATTCGCTTTTATTGAGTCCTCGCCCCCTCGCCCTCGCCCTCGCCCCTCTCCCGCGCTCCCTGCACGTTTCGGGAGGGCTGTAATCCGGCTGCCCCCGCCCGTCCTCCCCTCCCCTCCCGCACTGGTTGTAAAGGAAAATTGCTCCCAACTTACTGGGGTCCAGGTCGGCCTTCTCCTCTTTGTGCTTGCTGCCGGCGAGCGCGTCCGCCTCGGGCGAGGGCAGTGTCTGCGGCGCGCGGTCGCGCAGCTCCCCGGGCGAGCCGTACATGTAGTCCGGGTAGCTGCGGCCGTCGCCCGGGCCGCAGTCCGCGCGGCGCCCGGGGTAGGCGTCCGGCTTCAGGGCGTAGTGACGGCCCCCGGCAGGGAAGCTGGGGAAGGAAACGGCGCCGGACAGCGGCTCGAGCCAAGTCCGCATGTAGCGCGTGTCGGCGCCGAGGTGGGGCTGTGGGCCGTACGGGTGATATACCACGGACGACTGCGAGGGCACTGGCGCCCACGACGTGCTGAACACTGCCGGCTTGGGCGCGAAGCTACAGGACGGAAAATCGCTACAGTCCGGCACCAAACCGCTGGGTCTGGCGGCGGCGGGGTGAGCCCCCGTGGCCGGAAACCTGGACGCTAGGAGGTCTTCATTGTCGTGAGAGATGAGCGAGTCCACGTAATAGTTACTGATGGGCCCCGTCGCCGACATCGTAACGGGGTTTTACATACATAAGATTATTGTATGAACTGTATATGTACTTTTTATCTGCTCACAGAACAATCAAGGCAGGTAATTATTTTTCCAGCCTTTTCCCCGCAGCTCATTGGCTCCCCGGCCCCCACGTGATCGTATTTACCCAAAAATACGGCGCGGATCAATGCGCAGGGGCTTTTTTTTTCCTTGGTTTTTTTTCCCCCTCTCCCACCCCCTTCTCTCCGCTGTTCCCCGCGACCTGCGATTTCCTGGGGGTCCGGAACTCTGGACCCAAGGCACCGGTCACCCCCTCAGGACGGCTCGTAGCTCATCTGGGAAGCCCCTGTGCCCATGCCCACCCATAAGCAGTTGGCCTCCCCCAACCATGAGGATTTTTAAATGGGGTGAAAATGCCCGTCCCCGAAGCCAGGGTTCCCGGACCCCAGGGCCGAGCTGGGCGCTGGAGCCCCGCAGGGGCGGGGAGGCCGACCGAGGTAGGTGGAGGAACTATTTCTTGACGTAATCCGTCTCTGTCGGTCCCGACGCTCCCGCAGTGTCTGCGCGAGCCGAGATCAGCGATTGTCAGTTCGGAACGTGGCTTTTAAAAATGCGTTTTTAAATAGTGTGTATGTATGTATTTCTTTCAGGAGCAGCGGTAGCGGTGAGGGAGGGAGGGTGGGAGGGGACTAGGGAAGCTGGGATGGAGGGAGGGAAGGAGGGAAGGGGAGCGTTCTTCTGCCACTGGCCAACTCAGCCCCCCAAATCTGGGGAAGGGGAAGCCTGGGGAAGGTGGTTCCTGGGTGGGAGGGGTAGAACCTCAGGATCTCATACACCTTTACAGCAGCCTCAGAAGTCTTCTCCTTGCTTTGGCACAGATATACAGGCGCCTGTATTTTAAACTTATTGTCTGTATTTATCTTTCTTTGCCAGCTTGAAGAAGTGGAGGAGAGATCTACACAACTTAAGTGGGGTGTCCCCACCCCATCTTCCTGCTCAGCCTCCTTCGCCCCCAGCTCCACCTCTGCGACACTTCCCCTACCCCCACCCCCCAAAAAAGAAGTCACTCCCGGGCTCTGTCTACAGAGAGCCAGGGTGAGAGCGGGCAAGGCGAGAGAGCGACCTCGGTCGTGGGCAAGTAGCTTGTTTTTACGTCCTTCAATAAAATTTTTATGAGGATCATTTGATTGTTCATAAATGTGTCTTTCATTAAATAAAATTGTAGGCTGTTTTTGGAACGGGAAAAAAGCAACGGAGGGACGGGAGAAAGCAATTTCTTTGGGGTCGGATGCAGGAATTCCAGAGGGGGCAGTGTGATTGTAGAGGAATATCAGACAACTTGGATTCCTCCCCCCAATAAGTTGGTTGCTACCCTCCTCCTTCAACTGGGGATTTGTGCCCAGCCCTCTGCTTTCCATCAGACTGTCCCATGGTGGTGTAGTAAAGGGGGGCTTTAGCCAAGCAGGAAATCCTCAGTGTGGGTGCAGAAGAGGGGCATGGGAGGTTGGCTGGAGGGGGGAGACAGGTGATGCCCCCACAGATATGGTGCAGTTAGGCAGGGCAGAGTGAGTTTGAAGGAGGGGTGCAATTTCAGGATCAGAAAGGAAGAGTCCCAGTCTGTGGCCAAGGAAAATAGGCTGAGACAGATGCAGACTCTGGAGGCAGCAGGGTAGGAGGCTTCCCAGACCCAGCCACGCCTGCCCTTCTTTCCCCCTCCTGTCCCCAGGAGGGGACCAAATGCCAGGGGTGGGGGTGGGGGCTAGTTTTCTCCTGCATCTCTATGGATCTTTCTCCTCTGGGGTGGAGAAGGGCTGGGGAGAGTGTGCATAGTATGTGTTTTTGGGGGAAGAAAGTTGGGGGGAGACAGCTGCAGCTGGCAGCACCGACCTCAGCTCCATAGGCCCCCTCCTAACTCCCTGCTCCTCCCCCTCGCCTGTTCTTTCCTTTTCCTTTTCGGTCTAACGGGGTGGTTTAACGGGGCTGGGATTTCAACGCATGGGGGAGGATGAGGGATGTGTTTGGTTGGGGAGAGGCGACTTGGGGGTTCAGCTCCTTGGCGCCACTGTCTTCCCCTCCCTTGAGCTGCACTGAGCTGGGAAACCCAACTTATAACAAGAAACAGAATATCTCTTTGGCCTTGATGGAGTTGGGTTAGCTGTCAATCAAAAAATCTCCCTCACTAGTTCAAGGAAAAGACAGGAGGTTCCAGTCCCCCTGCCGAGGCTTTCTCCAAATCCCCAGTGCAGTCAGCACCTCCCCCAGCCCAGGGCAGCTGAGGACCCGGCCGACTCTTGGGCGGCTGCTGGCAGCGTGGAGCAGAGACGTTTAGCCCTCAGCTGGGCCCGGGGCCAGACTACGACCAAGAGGACATCAAGGGACAGAGCCTGAGAGAGACTGAACCCGAGACAGCCTGAGACAGACAAACTGAAACGTGGAGGCAGGCCCAAGAGAGGAAAGAAGGAGACCGAGCATCAGAATAGAAAGAAAAAGGGGAGCGAATTAAAGAAGAAAGGCAAGATGAAAAGAGATAGGAGAGCCCAGAAAGGCAGGCGTGCAGAGAGGGAGGCGGAGGAAGGGAGGCCGTAGGCAGGCAAGACGGGGCAGGGGGCGAGCTGGAGGAGCAGCCGTGGCATTGTGCAGTCCGCTGGCTTGCCGGGCCTTTGCCGCGGGACCGGCTCCGGGCGCGGCGGCCACTTCTGTCTGGACACAAAGGCTGAAGAGGCCTCCTCTCCGGCCCCTCCCAGAGTGTACCCTCCCCTCCGGCTCTGGGGGGTACACTAAGCCTGCCTGATATAGAACCCGGTGTTGGCCCAGACAGCCACCCAGGCGGCTGGGGCTGAGCCATGCCCTAGTCAAGGAGCGAAGAAACAGAAGAGGAAAGAGGTTTCATGCCTGCTTCTTCACGTCTTCTCCAGGCAACAGGGCCATCTGCCCCAGCCTCTGCTTTCCTGGAGGAAACAGTCCCTAAGGAGCCTCTCCTATGGGCCTCTGCTATTTGGGAGAGTCCCTCAAGTAGACACTGGGGCCGTAAAGAGACGCCCCCTTCTCTTCTACCCCTTCGAACACCGCCTTCTTTTCAACTCTTGAGCTGCCTGCGCACCCTGCCTGCCCACTCTGCGGAGGCAGCAGCAGCGGGCAGTGAGGATCCCTGCTGCCATCAAATCCCCTGTGAAACCAAGGAGGAGGTTGTCGCTTTCTTTCTTTCTTTCTTTCTTTTTTTTTTTCCGGGAGCAGGAACTCCGAACCCTTCCCACTCAGAGGCAGGCACGGCTGTGGATCAGGAAGCAGGCCTCGCCCACAGCCCCCTCCCAGCCAATGCCTCATTTTCCCTGTGCCTTGCAGAGAGAGGCGGCCTTGGGAAGGGGGGCTAGAAGAGGCTGGGAGTCCCAGAGTCCACTGGGCGGAGGTCTCGCAGGTCCACAACTGCATGTGGCCTGTAGCCCCCATTCTCCACATTTGCGGGGGGGGGGGGGTGACAGACCAGGGCTTTGAAGCGGACCTGCAGATTTCCCTCAAATCCAGGTTTGTAGGTGGGGGGTGGGGTACAAAGGATATTGGGGTACCAAGAAGGAAGGTCTGTCTTCTGGGGTTCAGTTACTTCTGAATCTTCTGCCATACTCCAGACTCCCCCTCACGCACACCACTCTCTCCAATTTTCCTCAGGGCGGCTGGGGCAAACCGAGAAACTGAAGGCCCCTGGGAGTTCTTGTTGGGGAGGGGGAAACCCCAGCTTTAGCTCGCAGCTGTACAGTCACTCTGGTTCCTAGAGTTCCCTCCCACCCCCAGAAGACTTCGCTGGGCACCGGAGAGACCCCTGAGAGGGAGGGGCACCCTTACTCCATCACCTGAAACCTGGGCAGCTGCGGCCACAACCAAACTAGCACCGTGGGAAGGACAGACAGAAAGACAGGTTAGAGTCGTCCCCTCCCCCTGCCCCGAGCCTTCCTTTTAGTGATTTAAATTCCCTCCGGTTCAATCCACACCGTCAAGTTCGGATTAAATTTAAAACACGCTTTTCCCGGCGCCCCCAGCGGGCCATCCCGGCTGCCTCAGGCAGGGAGCCCGCTCCCGGCTCCTCAGCACCCGCCCTGCGCGGAGAAGGCCGTACTCCATTTGCTTTCATTTTCCTTCTCCCCCTGAAATGGGCTCATTTCACCTCTCCACTGCCCTCTCCCCCTCCCCGCCCCCTCCCCGGTTCCCCTCTACATTCCCCCCTTCTCTCTCCTGATCCCTCTTTGTTGGGAAAAACACACCCACACACAACTCCTCCTAGCTAAGGCCTGCGCTGGAAGCAGAAACTGAGCTCTCCTGGCCGGCGGCGAGGAGACCCGCGTCCTGCCCCCACCCCAGGTGGGTATCCGGGATCCCTGCACACCAGGAGTCAGGTCCCCAAGCCCAGCAGGAGTGAAATCCCTAGGGCCTGTGAACGTGGCCCTCTCAACGCCACGGCCTGCCGGCCCTGCATTCCCGCCGGCGCCCCCGCCCTGCCACTCCGCAGCAAACGGGGCTATTTCCGGCTCCCCCTACACGATCTGGCTTTCCAGCCTGGGGAGTGGCTGGAGGGGGAGCCGCCCCAGAGCTAGAGCCGCTCCCTGCCCTGCCCGGAGCCCCAATGGCCCTGAGCGCCTTGTTACCTGATCTTTTAGTGTGATGTATGTGTCGCAAGGAAATTTGCAGTGACTTTGGAGCCCAGACTGAGGAAGCGGAGGTGGCGAAAGGAGAGACAATACGGGTCCGAAGTACAATTAAGGGGCCAGAGCCGCTCGTCTCTCCCCCGCCCTCCCTGCCCGACTGCGAGCTGTCTGGCCTCAAACCTCTGGGCGACACGCGAACCTGGAGCCGGAAACTCAGCCCGTGGCGGAGGGAGTCAGAGGACTCTGCATCCAGAAAGCAGAAGCAAAGCGCCCTTCCAACTTGGGGGCAACTTAACCAGCCCTGCTGGGTTGCAGAGAACCCAATGAATGAAAGTGCAAATTCCGCCGTATTTTCCCGATTTTTTCCAGCCTTGGGAAGGAGAGCCCAGGGTTTGGGGCGTCTCAGACAGAAAGGCAAACCGCATCTCCTGCGGCAGACAGACCCACAACATGAGTGTGAGCCTGAGATCACAGACAGGTTCAACATTTCCCGAGGCCTCTTTTCCAGGCCCGGAGGGCGCCGATCTCCCTACCTTCTCTCCCTCCAAGGCCTCAGGCAGAGAGACCCAGAAGACTCGGTCCCTCTGGCTTGGTCCAATCCCGCTTCGGAAGCTCCTTCGTTACCTGCTCCTCCGCTCCCCACGGCCGCAGTTGCAGGGCAGCCGCCTCCCGCCTGGGGAGGGAAGCCCCGGCCACCACGGCCGCCGCCGCCCGCCCTCCTTCCCTCCCTCCCTCCCTCCTTCTCGCCCTCCCTCTCTCTCCCTCCCTCGCGCGCTGCCGCTAGCGGGGCCCTCCCGCGGGCAACCTGCTCTGGACCAAATCCAGGTATCTCCGAAAGGTTGATAAAAGAAAGGACCTCTTACGTGGAAAAGAAAAGAAAGACCCTCACGGCATTTATTTTTCATGTTCTGACCATTGGTCGGCCTCAGTTCAGACGTCCCGAACAAGGCCCGGTAGTTGCAGAGGTGTGCGGGGCCTGCTGCCTCGCCCACGCTGACCGCCGCGCCCCACGCGCCGCGTGTTCCACACTCTGGGCCGCCGCCCCCCAGGGCAGCCCAAACACCCAGCAGACCTCAAGGTCCTTCCTACAGACTCAACATCCGGTTGCCCGCCTCGCCGCCGGCCACAGCCCGGGAGCCCGCTCTGCTCTGTCTGCGGCCAAAGTCCACACACAATCCACCTTGCTGGTGCTCTCGCGCCCGGCCCGGACACCCCTCCTGGCCACGCCGCCCTCCGGGCCACACGCGGGCTGCGGCCCGGCCCAGGACTTCGAACCTCGCTCCTTGCAGGACCCACACAAAGCCCTGAGCCCTGGCATTCCCACCCGCAGCCCCCAGTCCCTGCTGTCGCCGCCTCCTTCACCTGTTCTCGGGAAGGGCTGCATCTCCGAGACGGAGCTAGGCGGTGGGCCGGGTCCAGGTCCCACAGAAGCCACAGCGGATCTTCCGGGCTAAGCCGGAGCCCCAGCAGCGGACGAGAGATCTCAGAGACCAAGGCTCGCCTGGGCGAGCTCTTGCCTTTTCCTCCTTCTCCCGCAAGTCTCAAACACTCACACACCGAGAGTTCAGCTCTATAAATCCTGCTCCTCTTTCTCATATCATAATTAAAAAAAACCAGTAGGGGAGGTTTTAACTTTTATTGCGATTTCTGGAGTTGGGCTGCGGAGCATATATTAAGTTTACGCTTATGCGCTCTCGGCGGGGAGGGTCCTTTAAGAAATAAAAATCCATCTTAATATCCGCAGACGAGAGAGATAATTTTTTTCTCTTCTCTTCACGCTGTTCCTTCTGAAGACTCCCTTCCAGCGAAGCGAATAAATAATTACCATCGCCTTAGCCATGATCCACGGCCTCCGGCCGGGGTGGACTCTGACCACCAGACTGGCCCTCACCTTAGCCCTATGAGACCTCGCTCCATTTCTCCGGATTTGGGGAGGAGACACCTCAACCCCTGGCTCTATAACCTCCTACCCATAAGCCCAACAGCTCTGAAACCGAAATGGGGGCACAGAGACCCAAAACACAGAAGTCGTTCATTGGTGAATTTCGGCCCATCAGGGACACTATCTCCAAGCCAAATGCTCCTCAGCACCCAGTCCCTGCCTGGGCCACCCTTCACCCCGACTGACTGTGTGCCTGGGGCAGCCTGAAGACTCAGAGGCTGCTAGGAGCTCCCAAACCAGGGGAGCCCCTTGCTTGCCTCCCACTGGCTGGCCTGACTCTCTGGAAACTTCCCCATTTCCCTGGGAGCCATAGAGAGGTTTGAATACTTCTCTCCAAGAAAAGAAATTTTTTCGCCCACAAAGGGATGGGGGACAGACAGACCAACAATTCAGCTAGGGAGACTGAGAAGCTCTATTCCCATTTTCTCCTCCAGCTTCTTTGAGACTCAAAATAAATGTTTGCATAAGAGAGAGAGAGAGAAAATAAATGTGTATGCATATAAAAATATACAGGGTATTTAAGAGAGCCTAGGGCAGACAGATAGGCACAGAGCCCTACACTAATACAAGGTCACATATATCCCTCCCAGCAGATGACTGTGAGAATATAGAACTCCATGTATATATCTTGTTACAGGGACATAATTTTGTTTCCCTGTTTAGAAGTTTATAATGTTTCAATAATCATAATAATTTCAAAGTAATAGAACCAAGAACCTGACCTCTTTCTTTTGGCTTCTTTTCCCCAGTATCTCTGAGAACAGGGGTGTATCTCCTCAGTCTCCCTAACTCCTCCCCCATTTATTCCCCCCTCCCCCAAAGGCAAAGAAACCTCTTTTGAGAACTTTCTCTGTAGCAGTCAGGGCCAGAATTGAAGAACCAGAGGCGGAAGGGACTAGAATAAGCTTTGCAAACTTTCACACTGCTCAGATCTTCCTCTACCCCATTCTCCTCCCCTCCTCGCCCTGGCATCAGCCAACAACCTTTCCACCAACATATCAATGGTGGGCACGGGCAGCCTCTGTTCACCCGGACATTTCCACAGAGCGCAGACAGGCAGCTGCCTGACAGTCACAGACACAGAGACCGAGGCCTACGGGCCACAGATGACTCAACAGAGACCAGAGTCAGGTTTTTGCCCTGATGTCTCCCAGTTGCATGTGCGTGTGTGGGGGGTTCTATTTGGACTTGATGGCTTTCCTCTAACCTACTAACACCCCAAATGTATCTTTCCCCTGGAGATGGAGCTATAGAAGGGGAAGGGAAAATGGCTGGGCTGGCACTCAGAGTTCCCCAACTCTTGGGACCTCCAGGTACCCCACTTTTCTAAGGGGAATCTCGAACCCCAGTCACCTGGAGGTGGTAGGGGGGAGAAGCTAGCCATGCCAGAGACCCTCTTCTCTTTCTGTGCTCCTCTCTCTGCTAATGACTCTGCCCCACCCTGCTGCCCAACTGAGCTGGCCCACCAGGCCACCTCTTACTCAAACTCCTGAATTTTCTTGGAATTGGCTGGACCCTCTTTGTCTGTCTCCATCAGCTGGGCCCAGGAGACAATAGCTGCAGGAAAACTCCTCTCCCTTAGTCACAGGGATTAGGACAGGTTGAGGAGAGGATCGAATAAAGCAGGGTTCTCCAGACTTGTTCTGCGGCCCCACTCAGCTTGCCCTCCTTGGTCTGCACCCACTTTGCTCTATCTGGGAGGGGGCAGTGGGGCAGTCCCACTGGGGAGGGTAGGAGTGGGAGAGGTGGGTTGGGGCCCTCGACGAAAACCGACTGATGTAACTCAGGCAGTTTCTTGTTGCCGAGTTCAAAACTCAATCCCAACAACATGAAACTACCTAAGCCACAGATCAGCTGAGCAAGCAGGGCGGGAGATTCAGCTTTGCATCTATCCGGAGGAGAAGGGAAGGGGGTTGGGGAAGGAAGAAATTCAGCCCCGTCCCCCTTTCCGCCCCCACAACCTCCCTAAGGACTCGAGAGTAGACTTTGGGTTGCTGGGTGGGTAGGGGGTCTGACTGCCTTTATTAGTTTCTGGTCTAAGCAAATCGCTCAGGAAAAATCTGGTGAAATGGGACTGATAGCCGCCAAATCCCCGCCCCACCCGCAGCACCGCAGTGGAGTTATTCCCCTGCATCTGGCCCTGGCCCTGGGGGAAGCTGGATCTTCCTTCCACTCTGGAGCTGGGTCCCCTGTCTTGTCCATCTGGCTCTCCTGCGCTTCCCTCCTAGACTCCTCTGATCCGCTCCCTCTCAGCTCGGTTTAGGCTTCTCAGCGAATATGGGCGGCTGAATCACAGCCCTGTGCTCTGGAGCCACTTCCAATCAGGCCACTTGCCTGGCAAAGCCCTACAGCCAGGGAGCACAGGGAACAAGAGCCTGGACGAGGCTCACACCCAAACCAGCAAAAAGCAGGAAAACCTAAGCTTCAAGCTTCAAACCTCTGTACTCCCCCTCCCCCACCAAAAGACGACCAGACTTAGCAACACCTAGACCGGAATGTCGACCTCGAGGAGACCCAAAGTGCCCGAAAAGATAAAGAAGCCAAAAACCATCAATTTATCCCTTTAACTGTGGGAACCCCCACGGCAATGGGCCAGGGAGGGGAGGAGAGGGAGCTCCCAGTCGCTGCCCTCTGCTGCCAGCGGCCACAAGGAAAGCCTGGGCTCTCGGCAAGCACGGATGCCCTAAACACCTTCCTCCAGGCTCTGTCCGCTGCACGCCGGGCACCTGGGGACACCGCTCGTCCCCACTCCGCCGCCAAGAGAAGAACAAGAAACCGCTTCTCTTACCTTGTCGCTGCCTCCTCCTCCTGCTGCTACTGGCGTTTCTGTTAGCTGCTGTCGAGGTTGGGGGGGCTGAGCTCCTCCTGCCCCTCCAGCGGTTAAGTTTATTCCTCTCCTTGGATGGGTGGGGGCTCTTGGGGTGCCCCCCAGCAGCAGTGGGGTGCGCCCAGCACAGCACCCCGGGCAATCAGATCCGTCTGCTCCTCAAGATTGCAGTTTGCTCTCTGCCTCTTTCCCTCCTCCAGTCACCTTTAAATGCATCTTTTACTGCAGCACCACATTATATTTGCAGATCATAAAATCCACCTCTCGCGCGCACCAAGACCGTCCTGACATTACTGTTTTATGACCTTGACTTATTGTGGTCACCTGGATAATATTTAAATCAACGTTATGGTCTCTCACTTACATTAAACCCGCCAAGAGACGTTCTAGAAAGGCTCTAGGAGATGAGTCAAACACAAAACACACACATCCACACACTCAGCCTCTTCGGGGGAGGGGGGTGTCGCTAAAAACACTAAAAACAAAAAACCACCCATTTGAGGATTATGATTCTGGAAATTTATTCGGATTTTTTTCTCCATTAAGGAAGCTACATGCAAAAGATACAACATACAGAATATCTTTAAATAACACAACTCCCAGACAGGGACGGGGCAATATTGGGGGGGGCATTCTGTCTTTTCTTTGCTATGTTCTATTCTTAATTGTTTTGTTCCTCTGGATGAAATTTCTGAGATGTTAGTGGATGGAGGACGTGGGGGTGCTGGGAGGGGTGGGAGAAAAGCAGAAAGCAGTACAAATACGAGACTTCAAGCAGATTCTCAGAGCGACTGGGAGGTAAATATACGGAGAGGGTTTGGTGGAGGCTCTGGGTGCTACGACAAACACAGGAACACTAGCCGAACTTTCCAAAACGTCTATGATTCTAAGGAGGAAATGCAGCAAGGAAGGAACAATTCTGTCTGTGCTCTGCGAGATTACAGACCCTCTCTGGTTATTTTTTTTCCTCTTTTCCCCTCAAGCGGGTGGATTCGATCTTAACTTTGCATGGAGAACAGAATGCTGTGTGTAAGTGCGTGGGTGAGTGAGGGTTTGACACACACACCAGCCACACTCCCACCCCCATCTATGAGGGCACACCCCACACCCCACACCCCGGCACCCCATTTCTCATGCTTTAAGTGGAAGCATCTTTGAAGCACGAACCATAGGTCCCTTGGAAGGAGAGTCTGAGGTCTTTGCCTTTTTTGCAGGCGCGTTGCATTTATACTCAGGGAGGGAAAAAAAATATCACCAGGCACAAAGGGAGGAGGGGCGGGGAAAGGAAGGAGGGGGAAGGGAGGAGGAGAGGCCGCGCGCTCAGGTGAAATTAAAATTGGAGGTCAGTTCCCGGATCCGATTCTCTCGGTTCATTTTCTTGAGTTTCATTCTGCGATTTTGAAACCAGATTTTGACTTGTCTGTCTGTAAGGTTAATGGTCTTGCTAATCTCCAGGCGGCGCTCTCGCGTCAAATACATATTGAACAGAAATTCTTTCTCCAATTCCAGCGTCTGGTGTTTAGTATAGGGGCACCTCTTCTTCCTTCCGCTCTTTGCTGTCAGCCAATTTCCTGTGGTGTTTTCTGCCTTTATCTCCTCTGTTAAAAATAACATTATTTACATAAGTATCCCTCGAAGACGAAAACCCTCTTAGTGCTGCAGCCTTTGCCAGCCTGCTGTGGGGT